GCTTAAAATCAGCCTCAGCCTTCCAGGTTTGGTGCAGACCCTTCCCTACCTCCTCCCTGGTCTGAACCTCTGCTGAGAGGTTCTTCTGGCACCTTATGAGGCACTCACTGGATGCCAGGCACTCTGTGGGCTTCACCTCACGGAATCAAGTGGAACAGGGGCTCAGCCTCGGCCGCACGGGGCCCAGGCCCATCCGAGGCACCAAAACTCAGGGCTGCTGAAGAGGGAACAGTGGGGTGGGCCCTGGGCTCCCCTCGCCTGGAGGGCACCTGGACAACCACTCCAAGGGCTTTCTTCCACCAGAACTGCAGCGAGGGGTCCCCCAGGGCCGGCACCCCACCCTACCCTGCCCTGGCTCAGGGCCACCAGGCACGGCTGCTCACTGACTGAGTGACTTACACCACTCTGACCCTCAGTCTCTTCATTGGTGAACTAGAGATAGTGGAACTTACCTGAAAGTCTAGGTGTACCTGCCCAAAAGCAAACCGAGTTGTGATGTATTGGGTCTTTGTCACCATACACTTCGCATCTACTGGTAGCTGCTGCCAGTGAGGACTTAATCCGTCCTGGGTCCCGGGGACAGGGAGCCAGTGCCAGCCACAGGCCCGGCCTCAGCCCAGTCCTCAAAGGCCAACTTTGCTGTCCCACGCGGCGTGGCCCTCTCTCTTCCCTGTCCCCACTGTCACACTGCTGTGCACCCCTTCTGAGTGCATGTCTGTCCCTTCACCTGTCGGTGATCCATCCCTGCAAGGCCCTGACATCCTACAGCACACGGAGCCAGGGTGGGCAGGGGTCTCAGGAACCACGTGGCCCCCGAGTTTTACTGACGGGGAGGCCGAGGCCCAGGAAGGACAGGGGCTGGCCTGAGGACACACAGCTAAGTGGAGCAGTGTCGAGAGGCAGTCAGCCAAGTGAGGGACCTTAAACCAGGTCTTCGGTTTGATCTCAGGTGGGGATCTGGGTTCCGGAAGGCTCCAAGAGCTGTAGTTACAGGTCAGTTTTCAGGCCAGTGTGCCGGGGATCCTGGGGACAAGGCTGAAAACTGGGCATCCTGCGCCTCCTGGCACTGGGGCCTCTGGGGCAGGCAGAGGGAGGGGCGGGGAGCGAGCTCTCCAAGGGTTCCGGCGACCTGAGCAGCGCCAGCTTCTGCTGGTCTCCGAGGACAGCGACAGACCGGGCCGTGGTGGTCTGAGCCGGCTCCAGGCATCCTGGGGTAAAGGCCAGAGGCCCTCAGCTTCCCCCAGACACCAGCCGTCCCTGCCCCCACCTAGCCCCGGCTGCCCGTCTTTACCATCAGCGAACTTCCTGTCCTCAGCTCACTCTTCCCACTTGTTCACACAGTGGGGAGGGAGGGTCTCCTAAAACACAACCCTCACGGGCCTTCCTGAAACCCAGCATTCAAGGCTCTTGACTGCTTCCAGTGTCTGAGCCGCTGACAGGGAAGAGAGGAGTGGGGTCTTCCCCAGGTAAGAGGGGCCAAGGTGGGTCTTGTTCGGCGTCAGGTGGGAGTACCCAGCACCGTGGAGTCGTCACAGGAGTGTCTGCTGCAAGGCCACACCCTGGGACCAGCTTTTCCTCACAGTGTCTCTTAGCAACCGGATGGAGCTCCCCAGCCTCCACCTTCCTGCTCCCACCCAGCCTGGACTCTGAGGACCATGGCAGGAAGGGGCTGGGCGTGGCCAGAACAGCCTGTGGCTGGCTCGTGGCCACAGGCCAATGGATGGGGTGTGGGGCCCAGAGCGCCTGACCCCCTGCCCCAGGATGGCCCCCACCACTGGAGCCACATGACCAGGCCTCTCCCTGTCTCCACCTCTAGGCTCAGCTCCAGTCCAGCAGGGCCTGAGCCAGGGGAGACCCTCTTCCAGGCCAGCCCCTCGCAGCCCGTCCAACCTGGGGGGGTCTCCACCTCTGACACCTGCCTTCTGTTTGGGCCCTCAGCCTTGTTCTGGGTCCACCCCCGGTCAGCTGACAAGTCCTTTGTGGTCAGCATGTGCCCAGTGGCCTGGCCTTCTGATGTCTGCTGCTGCATAGCCCTGCGAGGCACTCCCAGGCCTGGCTCTGACCACCAGGGACACTGGGCACTGGCCTGGGGCTGGACAGGTCGGGTGGTAGCCACTGGGCTGATGTCCTCATTGCTCCACATCTGGCCATCCCCAGCCCTTGGGGAGTGTTTCCTGTTCTGAGTAGGAGGCCAGGTGAGCAGGGCCCCACTGCCCTGACACCACCCTCCCCCTGCAGAGACCCCCTTGGGGGGGGTGAGGCCACTTTTTGCCCAGCAGTAACCCTACTGGGGCAGCAGGTGGGGGGCAGTAGATGTTCTTCCTTCCGACACCCTGTCCTGACGTGTTGGCATCATGCCCTGGCCCCAGGCCCCAGGCCCAGACAAGACCCTGCCCACAGGCTCCTCCTCTGGCATCCGTGAAAGTCCAGGATGGGGAGTACCAGGCAGTGAGGGGCCGGTCCGCTTTGCTGGGTGGCCCTACGCCTGTACTTGGCGAAGGACTTGTGTGAGGATGAGAGCAGGATGGGGGATGGGGGTACTTGTCCCAGGGCTACTGGGCCAGGATGGGGCAGGGAGGCCGCCACCAGCAGATAGATGGCTGGCCATTCGAGGATGCGGACCCGGGTTTGGGGCAGGTGCAGCCAGAGCCACAGAGGGGTTTGCAGGGTGGGCCTCTCAGGGAGCGACTGGGGGCCAGGCCTCGTGGGGGCGGGGCCTGCGGTTGGGCGGGTGGGCACCTCCTGCCGGCCACGCTTCCTTCCCGTGGAGGGGCTTCTGTCTCCCCAGCCTGGGTCCTGCTGGTCTTTCTGGTGTCCACCTCTAGCCAGCCGGGCCCTTCTCCTCTGAGCCTGTGTGCTGGCCGTGAGGGCAGGGACAACACCACCACCAAGGAGAGTCCCCGTTCTTCCAGCGCCGTCCTCTGCCTTTTCCAGGGCTCCACCCTGGGAGAGTCCTCACCAGACATCCTGCCCCAGCCCCCGGGCTTCCACCCCCACCAGACTCATGTCCCTGGCAGGGCAGCTAGGCTTGCCCGTCCCCCTCTCTCCTGGCTACTCCCCTCCCGTCACCGAGGGGGACCCAATCTAACGTCCCTCCTGAGGGTCGCACCCACCACCCTCCCAGACAGACCGCACCCTTCCTGCAGACAGTGTGATGTCCCTGCAGCGTCACAGCCCCAAGGTCGCCCTTCAGGGAGCATGGGGAGGCCCGTGGCAAGGCGCGCCGTGGCCTGATGGATACCAGCAAGTTCCTGCCACTCCCATGAAGGCCGCCAACAGCGTGGCCCCAGCTCAACCTCAGGACCTTCCTCCTACAAGACCCAGGATGGGCTTGCACACAAAGGAGTACCTCGCGGCCCGAGGGCCCGGACGCTGAGAAGCAGCCGTCCCGCCTGGCTCACGGGTGGAAAAGAGGAGCAGGTTGTGGCCTGCAGGAGGCAAGGCGCATCTCCTTCATGTTCGAGCTGGCCCAGGGCCGGGGAGGCCCCATCTTTCAGAGGGGGAGGGACGGTTCTAGAGCCACAGCCCAGCCAGCGGGTATCTCCACCAGCCGGGGTCTGCAAGGCACTGCTTCCCCTGGGCTGGGGTCCACAGAAGACGGAGCTGAGGGGGCTCCCGGCGCCTGTCTGGAGCAGCCCGGGGCCTGTTGTGCGAGCTACTTCTGCATCTGGAAAAAGAAAGTGACGCGTAGACCTGCATCTGAGCACCCACCGTGCTCACGAGTTCTGCGGGCGCCACTGCCAATCCCTAAGACCCGGAGCCGGACTTGAGGGTCTCACATGGACTGGGTGCTCAGCAAGCTCTTGGCAAATGACCCCCCAGGAACGTCTCACAGTGGTTATTGTTTTCAGGTGGATGACGGAGGCTCAGGAAGGTAAAGTCTTGGCCCAAAGTTGACACCTGGCTGGAGAAGCTGGCTTGGGCCCAGGTTCCAGGGCCTGCAAAGCCTGCGCCCTTCACTGCGCGTCCTGCACCTGGAGTTGGTGCTTCCTTCCAGAATCCCTGGAACCGGGATGTCCACCGACAGAGCCTGGAGGTCGCTGCAGAGTCAGTGCCCGCAGCAGCTCTTTGTTTGCTCTGCCCCGACCTCCGGGCCAGTCTGGTTTGGCCCTGTGGGCCGCCCCCTGCTTCTCCAACTCTCTGTTCCCCATCACCCTCATTGCCCCCCCCCAAACAGAAGTCCTCCTGGACACTCCCATGTACCAGGGGCTGCCCTTTGTCCCAACACTTCTCACCCTGCATGGCCACTGTTGATTTATAGGGCAGTCTGGGCACTTCCTGAGACAGGGCCATGGGCTGAGCTCCAAGGGGGCATCAGTGAAGGATGGATGGATGGATGGGTGGGTGGGTGATTGGGTGGGTGAATGTGTGGATGAATGGACGGTGGATGCAGGGATGGGTGCTGGATGGAGGGATGTGTGTGTGGATGGATGGATGGGTGGGTGGGTGATGGGTGGATGGATATGTGGATGGAGGGGTGGATGTGTGGATGGATGGATTGGATAGATGGATGGAGGGATGGTGGATAGATGGATGGTGGATGGAGGGATGGGTGGATGTATGGAGGGATGGAGGGATGGATGGAGGGATGGTGGATGGAGGGATGAGTGGATGGATGGATGGGTGGGTGGGTGACGGGTGGGGGATGGAAGGAGGAAAGATAAATGAATAAATGGATGATGGGCAGATGGTTGGATGAGTGAATGGACTTGTAGATAAATGGGTGGGTGTATGACGGGTGGGGGGATGGATGGGGGATAGACAAATGAATGAATAGATGATGGGTAGATGATTGGATGGGTGAGTGGGTAGATGGATGGATGACTGGCATGTTTCAAGCAGTAGGCAGAGAGCCACCCTTGTTCCATCTTCACATCTTGAGTATCTGGGGTTCTTGGACAGAAGAGCTCCTAGAGGCTTCATAAAACAGCCGAGGAGTTGGGTGAAGCTTAGCCTGCAGAGGACAAGGCTCAGGAGAGCAAGACTTGGGCCTTGAGGGTTTGGAGGGCTATCCCTTGGGCCAAGGTACGAACACTCGCTCCCAGCCATCTGTGGCCATCTGTGGCCATCTGTGGTCGTAGAGGTGAGTTGAGGGTGGTGGGAGTGGTAGCGACACTGGAGCCCAAGAGGGGCAGTCACTCCTGCTTGCTGACTCACCATGCTCCTGAATCTCACTTCCCTGCTGACTTCCATCTTCTGTTCGGCAGTGGTCAGTGGCTCCAAGCATGTTATGACAAAGGAGCATCTTTCTTTCTTTTTTTTTATTGTGATTTGCATGAAAGTTTACAGAGCAAATTCACTTTCCGTACAGCAGCTCACATCACTTTGTCTCCTGACATTGACTGCAATTTCCCACAATGCAACAGCTCCTCTCCCACTTCCTCCCCATGGTTATCTCTTCCCTGTGGCCTTCCCTCCATGCACTCCTGCCCCCCAAGCTGTCTCCCTGTGCGTACACAGCCCTTCTATTCTCCCGTGATTGATCTCTCCAAGGAGTGTATCTACCTAATGTAAACATTCAGCTCATATGCCTGTCTTTTGTTTGGCTGGAAGCCACAGGAGTGGGTTCAATTCCAGACCTGAAGGGCAGCTAGAGGCCATAGTCTCAGGGGTTTCACCAGGCCTAACCAAACCAAAACCAAACTCATTGCCCAAGCCTAAGGAGCATCTTTTTAATGAAAGCAACACACCTGTAGTCACAAATCAATGAGCAAAGCAGCTCTGGGCCCTCCCCCCGTCCCACCCCAGCTGCTCTCCCCAGAGCCCCTTTGAAGCTCTCGTTGAGCTTAGCTCTCCCCGTCTGGCACAGTTTATGCTCGACTGTTAACCTAAAGGTTGGTGGTTCGAACGTACCCAGCAGTGCTGTGGACGAAAGGCCTGGCAACCTGTTTCCATAAAGATTTTTTTTTTTAAAAAAAAAAGGACCCTACAGGAGAGAGTAGAATTGTTCCATAGGGTTTCCAAGGCTATGATCTTTATGGGAGCAGGCCGCCTCGTCTTTTTCCCAAGGAGCAGCTGGCGGGTTGGAACTGCCAACCTTTTGGTGAGAAGCCAAATGGTTTAATCACTGCATCACCAGAGTTCCTTCCATAAAGATTCCAGCCTTGGAAACCCTATGGAGCACTTCCACTCCATCACGCGTGGGGTCGCCACGAGTCAGAATCAGTTTCACAGCAATGGGTTCTTTTCTCCTTTTTTTTCCTTTTAGCTTGGTTCTGCTTGTAGTTGCTGCCGTGGCTCTACATAATGTGTGTTCTCTCCATTCCCTGATCTATCAAATTTTATACACGACAGACTCCGCACTGTGGGAGATGAACATTTACCTAAATTACATTACTCCCTCCACCCCCAGCAGTCAATATTTACACAATTATTTTTAGTTCTTTCTACTGCCTTCTTGGGTAACTTTAAATATATGCTTCCTACCTTCTCACTCAGAAACTCCATGCTCAGCGTGTGCCCAAGAGAACTGAGAACACGTGTCCACAGAAGCTGGCACGCGGATGTTCACAACAGCCGGATTCACGAGAGCCCCAAAGCGGAAGCTGCTCGGATGTCCATCAACTAAGGACTGGATAAGCAAAATGCGGTCGAACCACATAGTGGAATACAACTCAACCATAAAAAGGAATTAGTACTAATACAAGCTCCAACCTGGGGGAACCTGGAGGACAACATCCTAAGTGAAAGAAACCACCCACAAAAAGCCACGTATCACGTGACTCCGTTTCCAGGAAACTTCCAGAATCGGCAAATCTGTGGAGACAGAAGGTAGATGAGTGGCTGCCAGGGCCTGGGGGGGTGACTGCTCAGGGGCACTGGGCTCTTCTGGGGGATTCACATGAGACAGAGGTGACGGGGGTACAATCTTGTGAACGCACCAAAGACCACGGGGCTGTATGTTCTGAGAGGGTGGAGTTTAGGTGAATTATAGGTCAACAGGAGCTCGAGTGGCGTAGTGCCTAAAGCACTTGACTGCTAAGCAGAAGGCTGGCGGTTCAAACCCACCAGCCACTCCTTGGAAAGAAGGTTGGGCAATGTACTTCTGTAGAGATACTGCCTCGGAAACCCAAGGAGGGGTCCCTGTGAGTCAGGGCCGACTGGAGGGCACATAACAATAGGTCAACAAAGCTGCTACAGAACAAACCAATATACCGCCACACTGTCTCCTGACCCCCCGCTTAAGGAGACAAAGCCCTTCCCAGTCGCCCAAGCCTTCCCTTGGCTTCCCCAGCCCTCCTTGGCTGGACCCGAGCCTGGACATTGACCCTAAAGACTCCAGCATGGGCCTGCAATCCACCCCAACCCAGGTAGCAGGCTGAGGCTTAGAGCAGAATCTTGGGATTCCAACAACAGGAACACAGGCAGGAAGATAATCGTGTGAGTCAAACACTCACTGCATGCCAAGGCCACTGGGCTAAGCCTTACGGGGGCTGTCTCATTAAGCCTCACAATGACCTTGAGGCAGGTACCATGCGTCCATGGTACAGAGGAGGAAACTGGGGCAGAGAGACTCCTACCACAGCCACGGCTGCGCAGTGAGGGAGCAGCAGAGCTGGGAGCCCAGTGAAACCCAAAGCTCCTGACCACCCAGGACGGACAGCAGCCCCCGTGGCACGAGCCACCACCACGCACACTTGCCGTGTTGCCGAATATGGGTTTCTATGTTGGTGCCCATGGAAGCTGCATCCTAGAAATCAAGCCATGCATCGCGCTGGGTGAATCAGCTACAAAAGAGCCCTTTAAGGGATGAGAAAACAAAGACGTCAGTTGGAGGACTAAGGTGTGCCTGACCCCAGCCATGGTATTTTCAGCCTCAAGTGAAAGCGGGACTATGATAAAGGAAGACCAAGGAAGAGCTGATGCCCTTGAATTCTGGTGTTGGCGGAGAACACTCACGACACCTGGACAGGCGGGGGAGCGAGGAAAGCCGTGTTGGAAGGGGTACAGCCACATGCTCCTTAGAAGTGAGCTCTGGACACGTGATCAAGAAAGACCGGTCCCCATGCTGTTTGGTCCCAGCAGAGGGTCAGCAGACACGGGGCCCTCTGTGAAGGCCACTGACACAGCAGCCGCAGCAGTGGGCTCCCACGCGCCAACAATCACGAAGATGCTGGAGGGCCGGCCATGCCACTCTGTCCTCGCAAGGTCTCCAAGCGGGAACCACCTGCAGGGCAGTTAGAACAACGGTGTGTGGGCGTACCGAGACCCCTTCAGTCCGTGTGCTTTAAGCCCTTTCTCAGTGGAAGGCCCTTTCCAGAGAACGCCCCTAGGTTCAGAGGAAGACAGTAGGAGCAGGACCCCTCTCTCCCTTCTGTCCCCCCCACCCATGCCCGGATGCTCCCACCTCTCCGTGCCTTCCTCCTGACCCCAGGCAGTGTAGCCGGGCCATGCTCTGCTCCACAGACAATGGGAGACTGTTTGCCGAATCCCACGATATTGAGGTAGCTGCAATGCATTCAGAAGCGGGGCCCCTCCCCTGCACAGCAGGCTCTGTTCCTGTGGGGAGGGGCCAGCCCTTCCTGGGCTGCACCCCACTCTGCCCCTCAGCGCTGTTCTCCGAGGTTTAATCATTAACAGGCACGTTGGCCTTTGGTTGCAGGTTGGAATCTGGGCCCTGTGCCCAGGAGCGATTATCTGACACGTTATTGTGTAAAAGTCACTTTTAGCTGCCATGAGCTGATAAGTGAGAAAGAAGAGGGTCCATTAGCCTGGGCTCTGGGGTACCCTTAGGGGTGACTAGGGCACCAATCTTCTGGGGGCTCTGAAATTACTTCCCTCAAAATACTTAAAAATGTTGTCTGGCAGTGTGGCTGTGCCGTGGTGCCTGTGTGTCACCCACACGTGTGGTTTTGGGGGTTACGGAGTGTCCGGCAGGTCCAGCACAGGCTACAGAAAAGTTGATGCCAGCTTTGCCCCCTGTTCCAGGGTCCCCAAGAGAGAAAGCTTTGGGATCAGTGGTGCCCCGTCTCCCAGTCCTGGGGGATACTCCCCTGGGGGGAGCTCGCAGGCTGTAGGAATGGGAGTGAGCGCCCCATCCCATGTGTACTCCAGCAGGCAGGGAGACTCCCCACACACTGAGCAGGCTTCTCCTACTTTGTTGTTGTTGTTGTTGTTAAGACTTTAACAAACAGAAATTACTTTTTCCCAGTTGAGGGGGCTGGAAGTCCAAATTCAGGGCACCAGCTCTAGGGGCGCTGGCTCTCTGTTGGCTCAGGGGAAGGTCTTGTCTCCTTTCAACATCTCTGGGCCCAGCATTCCTTGGAGATCTCTGTGCGTCTCAGCATCACTCTTGCCCTGGGTCTAGGAGGTTCTCAGCAGAGGGACCCTAGGTCCAAAGTACGCACTCCACTCTCGGCCCCTCCCTGAGCAGGCTTCTAGAAAGTCACCGAGCAGTACCAAAGCCTTGGCCTCTCCTCTCTCCTCCCCACTGACCTCTGAGACCGTGGGCTGGATGCCTACCCTGACCATTCTCCAGTCGTCTCCTGAGCTGGCCCTGCTGCCCCAGCGTTCCCTGCTTGATCTGGACAGGCCACCTGGGAGGGAGGGGGACAGAGTCCTGCCTCCCACCCCTTCCCACTGGGCTTCATCCTCAGGGTGCCCAGGCCTCCCTGGAACAGCCCTCCTTCCCAGCTCAGGCCACCCACCACCCCAGTCTCAGCTCTGCCCTTTGAGGTCTGCCTCACCCTCTGCAGCCCAGACTGAAATGCTGCCTGCTTGAGGGCCAACGTTGGACTCCACCAGGCCTCCTGACCCAGGCTGACCCTGCTTCTCCCCACAACCCTGCTGCCCTCCCCCAGGACCTGAGGCTGAAACCTCCGTCTGCCCCTC